AGCGTACACCACAGCAGATTCAAGGCATCATTCTGAAAATGGTGTCAGCATCTTTTAACAGGGCATGAGGTATGGCAGATAGTATCTCCTTCTGCACACAAAGAAAATACATAATTTTTTATTAACACAAGAACAAAAGACATTTTAAAAGTGTTCTTTGATTTTTTTTTAAGATCAAAAGAAAAATTTTTAAAGAAGAATCAAAATGTTCCCGCAAACCTGGCTTTTAAAAAAGAAATCTTGCCTCTTCCTGCATTAATAAAAACATTCAATTATAAGATTAAATTTTAAACATAACTTAATATTTGAATGGCAAAATTGTTGCATTTAACATCATTGTGAATAGGCAAAAAAGATACATCCAATAAGACAGAGGTTTTGGGCAAACATATTACTGTATTTCATACTTTGTATAATTTAGAATCATTCCTATATTTTATAGAATAGCTTTAGGCATTAATGTGAAAGGACCTTGACCCCTGATACCCTAAGTTTAACAATCTTCAGAACAAAATGGACTAACTCTTCTGCTTTAAGAGCAAATGAATCAAGCCCTAGGGAATGGTACTGTCTGGGCCTTTGAACACGACGAAAGAGATAAAATCCTGTTTGATGTGCAGAAACATTAGTGAATCCATTTTGATTTAATAAAAGGATGAGTTTGTTTCACAGCCTGTGAGAAAATATTCCCCTTATCCTGAAAACCCTCTCTCACTCCCACAGAGGTTGCTGATTTTTCCCCGGGTGTGGGGTGGCAGGTGAGCGCTGCTGCCATGAAAACAACATCTGTGGAGGCTGCAGCTACATTCATTTCTCAGAACCCACTGTGGTGGGACATTCAGAGCACGGGAGAGGAAATAAACCTTTGACTTCATCAAAATGTTACACCGCATTTGAAGTCAAAAGTAAACGATGTAACAGCAACAGTGTAAATGCATTATTTGTAATCTTGCCGTTCTCTAAATCTTTGTTATTTTAAAACCTTCAGAGACCCAATGTTTTAATACTTTACTGGTATTTCAATACCTGAAAAGCCTTTGAGAGTTAAACCTTACAGTCAAGGCATTTCAGAAACTACCTTTTACTTTTTAGACTCTCTCAAGTTTTCATTAATTGATGAAATATTGGGAAATTTTTGGTATATGTCCAGAAAAAAGTGAAAATTTCACCTTGTTAAGAACCTAAAAAATAAAAAGATAAAAAACAATTCCAACAGAATATTGCCAAAAAAATCTTTCAGAATAAAATGTTATGATGATTGATTTAGATATATCTGGCCCTACTGTATAAGGTGCATCTAGACTTCAAAGCTAACCTCAAATAGCACGGTTGATAGACCTGACTTCCTATTTAGCTGAGGTCTTGACGATCACAACATACATATCTATGGCTTCTATTCCTCCATCGTCCTCATCACCACTCTCACTGTGTGGCGTGTACTGCAGTTAAACCTGTAAGGAGCACTGAGATACATCGTGGTTTCTGCCTGCCCAGCAGCCCTTCTCTAATTTTCTTTGAAGAGTCCCTCTATTCCAGACCATGTGCAGCTGACACCAAACCCCTTTCCCAGGGGATGGCAACTAGATACAAGGTTAGTCAACCAAACAGTCCATTTTTCACCTTGAGAGTGTGACTGCAATTGCCCCTGTAAGAGTGGTTCTGGGACTCCACCTGCAAATACTGACCCCCTCCCAAAAAAGTGCTTTCTTTTTCTTGCTAGCACTCAGTAGTATCTCTAAGGGGCTAACATATGGAAACAGGCTGTCTGAAAATGAAGCCAAAACTGGAAAGAGATCCTGGTAACCTTGACTGACAGGGCCAACCATGCCTTAAATGGCAAGACCTACCCAGGGCTTTTTGCATCAACCAAATAAAATCCTTAGGCCAGTTTGAACTGCTGCTGTCACTTGCAGCTGAAAGGATCCTCACTCCAAAACATAATAAGCCTAAAAATAAACACGACCGCTTTTGAAGTTTCTAATGGATTTTCCTCTTCATGTACAGAATCTGCTTTAGTCCTCATAGTCCGAGACTATAAACACTAAATTATTTTTCACTATTTTTTGAATATATACTACATTAAAAAGGATGGGAGACTGCAGGGGGCAATTGATCTGAAATCTCCCTTACATGGAAGAAAGGTGGAGGCTACATATTTCAGGGCTTTGATGGCCCTGAAATCAATTCATCAAATGAAAGAATAAACAGTATCAGACAGGTGATCCTTCACTAATTCTTGGATGATATGTTAGGAAGCTGTTGTAAGTTGCCCACCTAACAGTTTTAAGAGAATGACTCACACAATAAGACACAGACATAGAATCAGGTTAGGTGTGGAGGTCCTGAGACTTTGCACATCTCTGTGGTCACAGCCGTTGTCACTGGGATAGGAAAAGAAGGATCTGGAAGCTTAATCATACCTCAAGGATACAAAAGCAAAAAGGTCCAATAGGCCCACCGGATGACAGGTCTGGCTGAGAGAAAGGCTCAGATCGAGATACAAGATGGAGGATCACTGGCATACAGATGGCGGTTCAGGGCTGGGAGTCACCTCACCACAATGAGAACAGGAGGCAAACACCTCCCTGGAGGTAATCTCAGCCTGGCTGTGTGCTCTGAGAAAACAGGTTCCAGGTTTGTTCTTGGTTGCAACCGGGCAGACATGGCTGACACTCGGTAAACAAGTGTGGAAGAGTGTGAGGTTAGCTTTCCATGGGTATTTTTCCAGGTGCCTCCCATGGGGAGAGCTGCCACTCTTGGCCGCTCCATTGGATGTAGGTTCATGATTCAGCTCTCACCTCTTAAATCAGTTCATGCTCTCACATTAGATGTAATCACAGCTGGCAGTGCTTTCTGGTGATGTCTCAAAAAGACAGAAGTTAGAAAAATATTTTTTATGATTTTCATTTAAAGTAAAACTGCTGCCTCTTTGGTGGTGTCCCCCTCTTTCCTGTCTCCTGCCCACCTAGTGACCCAGTAGCCTCAGAATGAACGGGGGGGGGGATCAGAGATGGGGTTTCCTATCAAGTCTAGAAGAAACAAAGGAGATAGAGCAGCAGACAGGCTTGGCTGTTGGGGATGCCAGGACCAGCTTGGGTAGAGCACACCCTAGGGGGCAGGAGAACTTGCCCTCTGTGAGCCCCTCCGATGTGAAGGGAAGGTACCAGCAGCTCCGATCACTCCCGCTGCGCCTGTCCAGCTCACCAGCTCAGCGCTGCGCCCCACCTGCCGCACGCTATGGCCTGGGCGGACACGGCAGCTTCAGTGTCGCTAGGCAGCGACCAGAGCACCAGGAGCCCGCCAGGCAGCTTCCTAGCCGGCCTCTGCCAGGGTCCAGGGCCAGTGCCTTGCTTTGGATTGGACCCGACAGATCCGCTGGCCGCGCTCATTCTTCAGCTCCCTGCCTTCCAGCACCCAGGCTGGGATGCGCCCTTTCTCTGACCATGTCCTCCAGTCTCAGTCTCAATCCTTCAATCAATTTTCTCAAAATTTCAATCAGTTTTGACTTTCGCGTTTGTAAGTACGCGTGTGTATGAGATTACCCTGGAAAGATCACCCATAAATGACAGTATATGCTGTCTGTACTCCAGACAACGATGTACAGGAACTGTAGGACATAAAGCATACAGGAAAGGCAGAGTACGTAAAAAGTATGGGTGCAAAATAGTTCAAGTGCAAAAGAAAAAAAAAAAAGCAGTAGTAAGTAACAGAGCCCGAGTGTGACGCCCCTGTACTTGTTACCGCCTCGCACGCTGGTCTGTGAGGGGCCTGTCCCCTTTGCCTCCATCGCGCCTTTAGCGTCCAGCCCAGGGCGAGACTCTTCACAGGATCAACCGCGAGTAAGTGACCAAGTGAGTGAATGAATGAAAGAATGAAGGCTCATCAGATCCCCGGAGCCTGCGCTTCCGACAGGCGGAGGAGGGCTAGAGGCCCAGCTCGGTCCTCAGGCGGCGGCCCGGGAAAGGACGGCGCACACCCTGGACCCCGGCCGGGGTCGGAACAGGGCCGGGTCTCCACCGCACCAC